AAGCAGCCTGTGCAGCTTAGTGAGAAGCCAGTGGCTTTCTTCATCCAAAGCCTGAGCTCTGCACTGTGATGATGGAGCAACATAGAAGGGGGCTGCTGGTGTGATTTCAAAGAAAGAGGCTTCTCCTTCCTCACCCCAGCAAACTGTTCCACTAATTGGCGTGAGTCCTCTCCAGTTCGTATACTGCAGGGTATAGTAGTATTTGTTCCCAAGCTGGTCGGGGCTACATGCTCCTTCACCTCCTTTGACAGCATTCTCTACAAGGCACAGAACAAACTCTGAGCTAACACATGCTGGATGCTCAGTTCCCAGCATGAATCACTTGTGTGTGTTTTAATTGAATAAAGAAATGTGTTATTCTGTTTGTCTAAGGTGCTGTGGAGAACTGAAGGTACCACTATCAAGTTCAGTCCCTATTGCACAAGAAAGTTTAAAAAGAGAAAAATGAAATAGCAATATGAAAATGTTTATTATCAGATGAGCTCTGCTGAAAATTATGTGATGCTTGTAGAAATACATATGTATAGTTCTTTGTAGTTAATAAAGTGTTTTCATACAGTTGACTAAACAAATGTCATGTGCATTAGTAAATTGAGTCTGTGCTTTGTGATAAGGATAAATAAATGCTCTAGAATACAAGCTAATTAAGTCATAACATTAGAGCACGTGTGTGTGTGTGGGCGCGCACGCGTACACGCGCTGTTATAGGTTATGGGTTGTAGGATCTGTTAGCCATTATAACTAGCCAGATAATACAAAATTTTTAAGTGTTGGTATTTTTTATTGGCCAGTGTATGGTTAGGCAGTATTCATCTTGCCAAAGCAGCAAGTTATATTGTATTTGTGTGTCTTTATAATTCCAGAATAGCTAATTAGAAAGAAAACAAGCATGCTCTTACTAGTAGGTTTAAAAACCTGCATGTGAAGTTATTTTTCTCTCTTCTCCTTTTGAAGAGAAGACACATGGCCTGACAGAGCTGTAAAAACTGCCCTGCCAGAACAGTTGGGATCTTTACTTTATGTTGTCTAGAGACCATAATTTGAGCTAAAGAAGGAGAGATGCTGTAGTAGAATTTTACTTATGAGATCATTGAGAGAAATAGAAAGTGATTTAAGGCAAGGGTGGCAGGGCTGCAGAGACCCTGTATTTCCTGCCGAGCTACTATCCTCACTGTAAGTCATGGGTCACACTGTGTGGGAGGCAGCAGGTACTCTGGGGGCCTCTGCAGGCCAGGGCCTTCTGGAGAACCCTTGCTGACACCCCCTTTTTTTGTTGTTTCATCAAACGCTAAGTGATCACATCCTATAGGCCACATTTCCCATTTCATCAGAACAGTGATGAGAAATACCAAGAAGTCAGCCACTTACTGTTTATTTTTGCACTTAGGAAGAAACCTGTCAGAGTAGTGAGAAAGCTGCCTCTAGAGTTCTTAGCTCAGAGGCCCTTGGAAAGCAACAAGGTCCCTAGCATTGCCGTAGTGCTCCTACCTGTAATGAATACTGAAATGGCAGATTGCAGTGAAGGAAAATGATGATTGAAATGCTATAAAACATTGTACTTAGGATACTTTACTTCCCCTTTGCCATAAGAATATACCTCCAGGGAGCCCTATAGCTTAGATTGGAAGCCATAGTTGCTAGTGCTTCAGCAGATCTGCAGAGACCAGCAGTTGAGGTTTTTCTGCAGCTCTTAAAACTTTCTGCCAAATAAACAAGAAAGTGGTAGAGATTGTGGACATTTTGTAGCATCATTCTGACAAACTAGGGCAGGGAGCTACATTAGGAATGTGCATGCAGTGAAGGCAGATCTATATTTTAAGTCCACGGTATATGTAAAGCCCTGTGCAAATATGCACTGGTATATGAAACATAACTTCTACCCTTATGGAGCTGGCACACTACTAAGGAAAATGGAAGTGCATAGAAATCCTCATATTTAAAAATACTTGATGAGGGCTATGTAAGTGCTGACAGAAAACAGTGAACAGTGGATCAGTTTTTGCAAAAAGATGTTTGTTAAATCTTAGGATCTAAAAGAAAAATTTGGAGTACTATGTAATATATTTCATGGTTAAATATGAAAATATAATTTATAAATACACATCAAAGTATGAATTTCAGAATATTTTTTCAAGACTTTATGTATGCATTTCGTTGTTGTTGTAGTAGTGGTGGTACTGGGGATGAAAGGACCTGCTCACTGAGTTACATCCCTATCCCTTTTTAAAAACTTTTTTATATTGAGACAAGGCCTTACTAAGCCATTAAATTGCTCAGGTTGGGAGAAAACCTATGATCCTGCTTCAGCCTCCCAGAGTGCTGGGATGCAATCACCACACTTGTTTTCTGTGCACCTTCTTAGCTAATGCAAGTGTGGATAATCCAAGAACATGGCTTTCTTGAAATTTTTCTCCAGAATTTTGTGGCTGTGTCTGTGCCTTTAGTTTCCTAGGGAAAGGATTGTTGGCTTCCAACAGGTTCTTTTTTTAAAATCGGATTTTATTGGTATATTTTGGATATATATAATGATCACATTCATCATAGAGAATTTGTACCTGTACAATGATATAACTTGATTCTTTTTTTCCCATTCTCCTACCCACCTTTCAATCCCTCCTTTCCTCCCCATTTACAAAAGCTTTGTCTCCATTTTTTTATTTTCTCACTTTTAAAAAAATTTTTCCCTTCTTTCCTTCCCCCTCCCTCCTCCCTGACCTCCTCCCCATTTGAACATTGTCTTCCTAGTTCACAATAGCTAATATACATTTTGGTCCTTATTTACACTTTCAGTACCTCACACCAGAGAAACAGCATTCCAACAGATTCTTGAAGGGTTCCGTGGCTGAGAATCAAATCAGAACCACCAGTTTACAGAACATGTCCTCAGTCTCTGGGTTTAGCGTACCCTTCTCCTCTCTTCAGCTTGGCTTCAGTTCATTCTCACATAACAGTTGAGGCAAGATAAAAATGACTAAATACTTTTGTTTGTGGGATGTATTACATTAAAGTTGATATGTTGTGCTCTTAATTTGGAAAACACACAAATTCAACATGTTATCCATAACGAGCCCTGCTCACCATTTTCTGGGCTCTGTGTGCCGGGCACTTGGCAGTGCACTCCACAGGCAGAAATCCATTTCACACTCACGTTCTTCCTGAGAAGGGCTGCTCTTACCAGTATTTTATAGAGAAGGGAGCTGAGGCTCGGTGAGTTGCTTCCTAGGAAGCTGTTTAACTACCTATTAAACCTGACCTTGTGATCTCCTTTCTTAGTATGAACTGGATGTGTTGATTTTCTCTTTTTTTTTGGAATTTTATTTTTATTTTCTTAGTGCATTTTAGATATACATAATGATAACATTCATCATAGAGAATTATAAAAAGAAGAAGCAAGATATACCATACACAGGTACAAATTTCCTATGAACTGTTCTCTCTTTCCTTCAAAAAACAAAAAGCCTCTGCTAAATTACAACTTGCTTTTTTAAAATTTTGTTTGTTTTGTTTTAGTTTTTGTGTGTGGTTTGTTTTTGTTTTTGTTTTTGTTTTTTTTGAGACAGGATCTTACTATGTAGTTCAGGCTGGCGTTGAATTCAGTATGTAGCCCAGGCTGGCCTGGAACTCATGATGATTCACCTGCCTCAGCCTCCCAAGTGCTGGGATTAGAGGTGTGTGCCACCATGCCCACCCTTGGTTTTCATAATCCTTAATTTTCTTTTTCTGAATGTCAAAATGCCTTTTGAAGTAAATGGACACTTTTAGACGTATGCAATCTATGAGTATAATCTTCAACATAAAAGAATACATGTTAATTAAAACTTCGTTCATGCATCAGATTTAGAAATTGTACTCTTAAAAATTTAATAATCTTGTAGGAAGATACTACATACTTGGTGTCTTTACAGTATATCAATCAGTACATACAGCAGAATGTGGAGGGACATGGGTTACCAGGGAGGGAGACATTTGAACACTACACCTCCTATGTTCTCTATGTCAACTCAACGTTGCTATAATGAGAAGTGTTACTAATGGCAAGTGTTTCACACTGGAACTGTGTAAGATGCAGCAGGAAGATTATGAAATATATCACATTGTTTGAAACCCTTCTTTTTGTTTATTTTTGAGACAGAGGAGCACTGTGTTGCCCATGCTGGCTTGGTTCTGCTAGGCTCAAAGGATCCTCCTACCCCAGCCTTCATGGTAGCTGAGACCACAGGCACATGGCACCATGCCCTGTTATCTCCACTCCACTTTATAGAATGCTGAGTTGGAAGGAACACTGTTGGAAATTTAGGATCATGGATAGGATTAGAAGATAGCTTACATGGATTTAATCTGCAATTAAACACTGTAGTGGGTCGGAGATACAGCTCAGTGGCACAGCGCCTGCCTGTCGAGTGCAAAGTTATGAGTTCGATTCCCAATACCACACACACACACACACACACACACACACACACACACACACACACACAAACCCTTTAGAATATACCATAAAATATTTGTAGTCTAAATTTTTTCTCTTGGGGCTGGGGATTTAGCTCAGCGGCAAAAGCGCCTGCCTGGCAAGCGCAAGGTCGTGAGTTCAGTTCCCGGTACCGGAGAAAAACCAAAA